ATCTTAGAATTTTTTAAAGTTTTCTTTATATTTGTGTGTTTCATTTATGGAAAAGCTATTAAGGCTATCTAACGTCGTCCTTAATTTGGAACTACCGATCAAAGGGAAGGCTACCGGCCGGCAGCATTCAACATCAACTCTTCGTCTACTCATTTAATTACGAAATGTGGGATTGACTATCACATTCTAACGCTTTGACGCTGAAAATGCGAGTAGGTTCGGTGTCAGGTTTCAATCCCGCTATCCGCATATTGCGATTCAAGCGCCTTAACCGTCAGGCCATCCTAAGCCTCTCATAATGCAACGGATAGAAGCGCGGTATTTTAAATTCCTGTTGTTAATTGACATCATATTATAATCGTAAAACACAACATATTTTTAATTTTACATAATTGTATTACTATCTTGTATCCAAAAGAAGTTTAAAAACGAAACAAAAATGCTTAGTTTTTCTGTTGCATGTTTTTTTTGTTTGTTTACAAACGAATTCTAACTATTCTAGTATCAACATTAGGGTCAATACAAACTTAATGATAACTTGTGAAATGATTAACGATACATGCGTGAATTTTATGTTCTTTTCCTGTGATTAAGATAGTCAAACACTTTTACGTATATTAATTAACACATTCCAAAGAAACCCCAGACTTACAACGCTAGAATCCGGGTTTCGATACCCGTGGTGGGCAGAGCATAGATAGCCCATTGTGTAGCTTTGTGCTTAATTACAAACAAACAAACATTCCAAAGAACCTATTAAGATCAAGTTTGTCGTAACAGTAACCAAAAAGAACCTATTTGAACTAATAGGTCTTCTAAAGAAACAAGCCAGAAACCATTGTCTAAAATGTTTTGAAAGTAGTGACCAAATTCTACTGGAATAGATGAGGTTTATTTGTTGAGAAGCACAGTACTACACAGTGAGTTATCTGTGCTTGCTCACCGCAAGTATCAAAGCAAGATTTTTCACCTTAAGTATTGTTGTTTTTACCCCCGGCATAGCGGCTCATAGAATAGCTCCGAGTTTGTTTGTTTTTCAAGTACCAACTTTTTGCTCATAGCTCCGTCATCTCTTGACCGATTTCAGTTCTAATTACAGTTTTGGACTCAAGAGGTCAAACCCTTTCGATTGATATATTGTACCCCGCCCAAGATCTCGTATATTAATTTACTCCAATCCTGCCTAACATAATTTAAATTTGAGGGTAGGCTTGTAGAGATCCTGATGAGTAACAAAATCGAATCGAGTATAAGCGCGCCCCACACTTGGTATTGCTAGCGCACAAAAATATAGCTAATTATTAATAATAATAATAATAATAAAGGTAATCCTGCCTAAAAGAATTTCAAGTACCGAGGCTATTGAGGATTTTATTTTATTTGCTTAGTGCAGAGCTACGCAATGGGCTATCCGCATTTTGTCCAATGCGGGGAATGTAACTCTGGATTTTAGCATTGTAACTCCGTAAATTTACCGCTGACTTGCTGGAGGAATATAAAACCTAGGTTTCTACATCATATTATTCCACTCATTTTAAAGATAAGAACGAAATAAAAAACAACGAAAAACTCCGATGTTACACTAAAAGCATTTGAATAATGGATAAAAATTACAAAAAAAAAAAACGTTTTGGCAGAAGTTCATTGATCACATTCACAAAAAAAAACAGAAGTCTGAGGGGAAATTCATGGTATTCAATTTAGTTTCATTATTTCTAATTGTGTTATTTCATTAAAAACGTAATAAAATATACCAAATATTTCCACGTTTTAACACTTTTGTTGCTGTTTTTGTAACTGATTTTGGTTAAATACCTTACTCTAGTTTCATCATTTTAAACTGAAACAGAGGTATATTTGAAATGTAAATAAAAGGGGAAGCATCTTGAAAATCATTACATAAAAAATTAATTAACACTTCGAAAATGTACATTTAAATAAGCAGTCTTTATAGAAGGTTAATAACACTTTATATGAACAATTAGTATATATTACTGAAGTGGTACTTCACTGCAGTTACCAATTAGAGCATCATGTGCAACAGGGTTAATACCGTTATAATTTCCAGTCAGTTGAAAATTGGACGACCCACTAGTTAACTCTTATGGCTAGACGATAAAGTCGAGGCGTTTTGAAGGAAGGATATTCGTAGAGTGAAATTGTTAAATGATGTCGAGCCAAATGATACACAAAATTTCAAGAAAGTGAAACAAGGTCTCGGAGTTTGAACCCTCTGACCGCTCTGGTATTTTTGAAAGAATAATAGACTGAGAGTTGAAATTGAAGAAGGCTCATTAGCTTATAGCTTTTGTTATGAGAAAAATGACAAAAGATAACTGGAATCACAGTGATCGTAATCAGCCACATTCAAATCCTTTAAATCCCCCAGTGCAACACCATTGGACTATCGTGCTTTTGGTCTGCTTAAACGTGAAAACTACGTCCATCTACAGTACTATGAAAAATATTTCAAAATTAATGGTTCGAGCTGGACATCGTCATCTTTAACAGAGGCCTATGTGAATACTAATTGCAGTGTCCACCAATGACACAAAGACGTGGCCATCAGACGGAATTTGAAACATCGATCAGATAAAAAACACATTTCACTATTAAATACATCTGAAATACCGAATTTCTTCAAAGCAAGTTTTATGTTCAAATACTTAACTTTGCCACATATATTGAAACACAAACCGCTTCTAAGGTGACTTGTCCACGACCTATGTTAACAATTTTCATATCTAATCGCTATTACAGGACGTTCGAACGCGAAATCCTATTCAGTCATCATTAAAGCATGTAAGCAAAGAAGTGATGGCTTTTAAAATAAAATAATATTTCTTTTGCTGAATGCTCTTCATAAAACAAGAAAAGACATGATTCCATCAGGGATAAATACCCACACATAAACATAGAAAATGTTAGAAAATAATAGAAAATGTTCTCAGTACTCTAAATAAGATAACTCAGACGGATTATGGTTTACAAAAGCGACACTGTGTTCATAAATTTCTCTCAAAGCATATAGTCAATTGTCAAAAGCTGTACAAACGTTACCTGGCATGCGACAAATGAACTACGCCATCACACTGGACGAAGGACATGTCAACTTTAAGTGACCACAAAAAAAATTTGGCGATATATTATCTTATTTATTTTAATATAACATTTATAAAATGATACAGCGCATTTCACGAAAGTACATCCAGTTCATTTACAGTGTGTGTAAGTTACAACAATACGTTTTAGCTAAGCAGTCAGAGATTCATGAAAAATGCCACGGTAAACTCTGTACACTATTTTATTAACGTGGTGACAATACTTTAACGCGAGAAAATGCCATTTTTGTACGGTCTGGATGTCGAAGAGATGACGTCATCAAAACAAAATATCCAGCATGTCCGAGTCAAAATGCCACTACCTCCATCTGATTCAAGTACAAACGGGCGTTAATGTTATATAACTCGCTAAAATGTATCGGTTAAGTCACTAGATGCATTTCCCTTAAACTTCTGTGAATTTGAGTTGTTCAAACAGGCCTTTTTAATTATTTTCTGCGCACGATTAGTGAACTTTGTAAAACATGCAAATATGAGTGGGGAAAACATTGACCTCGGTATATTGTACAAAGCCTCCTGCAGCGAAAGCTGCGTTATAGAGCAATAGTCCGTAACCAGAGCTATTGCATACATAACCACCTTTGGTAGATGAACGGGCGTTAAAGCCTGTTCGTGCACCCTTGTATTATTACCTCAGATTATGAACACCTCTCTACAGGGCAAGATGCTCGTTGTCAAGTTAATTATTATGATCTTGATAAACAATAAAATGTTTCTAAAACACAACTGTCACTATATATATATATATTATATACAGAAACTGAATAGAGAAATAATCTTTAGGATGTGTCGTTCTTTACTGATCAATTATATTATTGTTGGACGTTTCGTTATTTATTGAACAATTATATTATTGTTGGACGTTTCGTTCTTTATTGATCAATTATATTGTTGTTAGATGTAGTAGTACTTGGTATGCCCAATCTGAAAAGCAATTTATGCGTTACTTAGATTAAACAATCAGTTAGAAACCCCAAAGGTTAGGCGTAGAAGGCAACTTTTGCGATACTTTGGTTAAACAATCTGTTAAAAACCCAAGGGTTAGGCGTAGAAGGCAACTTTTGCGATACTTAGGTTAAACAATCTGTTAGAAACCCCAAGGGTTAGGCGTAGAAGGCAACTTTTGCGATACTTAGGTTAAACAATCTGTTAGAAACCCCAAGGGTTAGGCGTAGAAGGCAACTTTTGCTATACTTAGGTTAAACAATCTGTTAGAGACCCCAAGAGTGAAGCATAGATCAGAGAGAAGGCAATTTGTGCGATACTTAGGTTAAACAACCAGTTAGAGACTCGAAGGGTTAGGCATAGATCAAAGAAAAGGCAACCAGCTGCTTACACTGCTACTTTAAATTGAATAAGAGGATTGAATATTAGCTTTATAATGTGCCCACAATGGAAAGTGTGGAGCGAGTTCAACGTGAATTTGGGCTTTCCGATCTTCAACCCGATACACCAACTATGAGATCATCGTGGTTCGCAGGTGAAAGAAACTAGTTGCAGTTAAATACGTTTCAAACAAAACCATAATTTTTTTGTAAGTATGCAACTATCGAAGTTTTAAAATAATCTTGTTTGTTGTAATAATTATTTCATACTTTAATAGACGAGGTTAATATTGAATACTCCATGTAAACAGGTTTGCTTTGATAAAGATTTCACTTTTCAGTTGCCCCCCCAGTGACACAGCAGTATTTCTGCGGACTCACAACGTTAGAAACCGTGCTTAATTACAAACAAAAATACATATTCTAGTATATAGGATAAATATTGAGTATTCAAGATGAAATTGTTTTTCATGAATAAAGAATATGAATAATGAGGATTTAAAATGAGCTCGTTCGTCTTAATATATGCTTCATTTTTGTTTTACCCATCAAGCTACGGCTGTCCTGTTTCTAACATCACCAGTGGAGGAGAAGGATCCCATGACTTCAATACTAGACCAAATGGGCATATCAACTGGTAGGTCTTTTCAATGTCAACATTTAACAGTTTCACTTTTCCTCGATATCAAATCTCAAGAAAACCAGCTGGGTTAAATTAATATGTATCCATTTTCATTTATATGTTAGTTGTATTATGTTACTGGAAACTCAGACTGCATTTGTTGAAACTGAAATGTTGAAAATATTATTAGTTTTATTGTGATGTTTTACAAAACGTGTTCGACTGAGCAGTCACATAGGACTTATAAGTTTACTTATTTACTTACAGGGTGGCCATATTATGGGTAGACCGTCCGCTGACATTGTGGGGCATTCAGGTAATGCAGTAATTTAAGTAATTTACTCCTACTATTGAGGTTTAATAACTTTCCCACCCGTTGATTTTCTACGGATATTTCAAAAATAATATTATTTTTTTTTCTATCACGTAAGGATCTTTTACAAATCGGGAAGAAAAATAACTCTTACTTAGTTCAAATTATTATTTCGTTTACCACAATGAATATTTTTTTATTATTATGTTTGTTATATTTGGGTTCTAGAACTATCGATAAGACACTCGCGTCGCGATTGGTCTATAGAAATCTATAGCCAGAGGTTTTCAACATTTAAGTAAAACAAAATGTGACCCGATTTCAATGAAACTTATTCACTTGTGTAAAAGTACATATTATGTTTAGTAAAAACATCTGTAGGTGA